CCCCCCCCCCCCCCCCCGGGCGCATTCCAACAACCCAACATCCCAACCGTCACAATGTCTGCACCTGCATGTAAAGGAGTTTTATCAGTGCTATGTACTGTCGATCCGCGCATGAGGGCATGATACGTGTGGCGCCCACTGTTGCGGTGTGTGTGATTGCGCAGTGCGCATGAGGTGCGGAGCTCCGAGTTTGGAATTGCCACTTCTGGGGGGGTAAATATCACTACAAAGGAGCATCCGACACTTGAATATGACCGCTGCTGTTGTAGACTACGCCTGGTGTGTCATGTCCGGTTGAGACTTGTATGACAGGAGATTTTGATATCACTTCATCGACATTCCTCTATCAACTTGTTATATCGGGCTCCTTAATGTACCTGTTTTTTCCTCCTTTACCCCCGTGTAAGGAAGGGTCAGCACCCGCTCTCGCTCTCGTTGTTGCTCCTTGAGCTCTTCGTCGCGCCCTTGCTGCAGAGCCCTGAGTTCTTCTTCCTGCCTCATCCACACTCGTGACGGCCGAGTAGCGCTGCAAAACGCCCGACCGCACCGAACCTGATGCCATTGGCGCACCAGTCTCCTACCCGCTGGAATCATGTCTGGCTCACCTCACACAAGATACAAGACCCTCGTCGTTACGGTCTAATGGTGTTTGCTGGCGTCGCGGTGTATCTCGAGCTCCAAGTCCGGCCCACGGGGTCACCGGAGAATCTATCTGACAGTCCCGCCTGCGTCCCATATGCGTGGGTTTTTGCGTTTTCGTGTCCAGTGTCCAACGCGTCACGTCGGCACAGCCAATCTTTGATGTCCTGACTACTGACTGTACTTCCGCTGTTTAGGTTGGGAACTCTCGTGCTCTGGTTTGTACTGCAGCACGGACGGTGCACGGACAACACGAACGATGGTCCACGTGAACATGTGAGTTCGAGCCGGGGTGCTCTCTGATGTGTCGGGTATTGCCACGCCTCGCACACCAGCCCAATCAGTCAGTGTTTCTGTTTCAACCGTCAGCCCACCCGCTCACCCACACTGCGTTCACCATTGAGTATCGATGGTCAGACGCATTTACTCTGCCCTCCATACAACACCACGAAAGACAACGTCTTTGAAGTACAGGAGAGCGAGTACCTAAAATCCATAAAGACTCAAAAACAAGCTGTTCGGTGTTCTGAGTTTTTGATGTGTTCAAGGAACCACATCAAAAACGCCGAACAGCTGTTGTACATCATGTCTCATGTCGTTGCTCGGACTGCTGTGCGCGACTCGCTTACAGCTGTAGCAAGCATCTCATCATCAACCGGCCATTCTTCACCCGTGTGTCTTAAATGTTGTGGTAGCAGTGGGAATACATTTCGTCCCCCCTCCACTCTTTTGCTGCAATCACCTGACAGCGTGTTACTTATTGCACTTATCTATGGACGGTTGTGCTTCAACCGTGTCGACCGCCCCCGGCTGACCAGTGAGAAAGCGTAACTTCGTTGCGTCGTCACGTCGTTGCGTCTCAGTGCAACTACCTCCTGTGACCACTCAAAACGAAAACCCAAAACAATGCTTACTTGTTCTGGGTTCGTTTGAGGGGGGTCACGGGGAGGCTAGTCTATTGTACAGATTCAAGACACATGGAGAGAATTCCACCTGTTTCCTCAGTTGTACTACAAGCAGTACTCGTGTGCGATCGGTCTTCATTCCAATTTTTTATCTTAGAAACACAACAACCGTAAGTTTGCGAGTCAGCGTACCCTCGTGCGATCGTTTTTTAAAAATAAATACATTTTAGAACCAAGCAAACCACGCGTGTGGCGAACCAAGCATCGCAACGCGGGGGGAGGTCCGGGGGGGGGGGGTTACCCNGGGGGGGGGGGGGGGGGGGGGGGGGGGCCCCCCCCCCCCCCGGAACCCTTGGCTGGACCAAGCAAACCACGCGTGAGGTGAACCAAGCAAACCACGGGAGGGGGTCCGTTGTGGTAGTTTCTGCTTTGTCCCAGCAGACAACAGGCTCTGCTGTCACCCAGCTTTCCATAGCTATTCAATGAACGCAGCAGAGTAGACTCCATCTACAGCAGCAGTAAGTAGATATGTGCGTGCATACAAGAGACTGACTGCTGTGACCTACATCTAGCGTAAGAGGGGCTCCATCGCAAAGCAGCACTAGAGGAAGCACTATCAATTAAATGTGTTGCTGCTGCTGCTGGTGCACACCTTTGTACGCATAGAAGCTGTCTTGTGTGAAGCCTCTCGCTGTGTGTACCATGGCACTGCTGTATGACGGTAAGTTTAGCTCTACATATTCTACGTACAATCAACCGATCACCGATGGCCAATCGTTCCTTTCTACTTNAACACGGTCTTCGCATTCGAAGCCGCAATCACATTTGAACTCGTCGTCTTCCTCGTCTACCGTCCTATGTCTTCGTCGACGTTCTCGAAGGCCTATGTCCCCGGTCCTGAATTTGACCTTAATTAAGCTTTGTTGCTGCATCCATTGGTCCATGTAGGAAGTCCTTGAACCCTTTTCCTTCCTTCAACATTCCGTACACTTCTAGACCCTCCTTATCCTTGGATTCTTTTTTCTTTAGATTATGTTCTCCTCTCTCGGCACAAGCAACAGATATCTTCTCCTTGAACCCCTGTAGACCCTCCGTTTCCAGCGTTTCATCTTCGTCGATGTCGAGCCCCTTCCATACTTCCTCTACAACCTTGAGCCATTCCGTGGGTTGTCTACCACTCTTTTTGTTTGCCCACTTCGCCTCCCATACAATTCTGGGCAACCTCTCCTCTCCCATCCCGCACATGCGATACTGCCATGTCAGCTTCCTCGCGTCTCTTCCCGACCGTAGGGATTGGATCCCCAATTCTGCCCTGACGGCCGCATTACTTGTGCGCTTGGAGCATCCTAGGATGATTTTCACTGCTTTCCGTCTCGAGTGCTTTCGCTACCTTCTCATTTCCTTCCCATACCTCTCCGGCGTACTCTAGCGGCGGTACGATTACGCTCTTCAAAACCGTCAATTTGATGCGTGTATCGAG